TTTTTAAAAGAAAAAACTACATGTACATAGAAGAGTTTGATTACCATTAGACTTGTGTGTAGAACTTTTTAAAAAAATGGCCTTAATAAAACTACAAGCAACCTTCCTGGATGCAATTTTCAAAACAAGGCTTTGGGGACCCCCGTGAGGGAGCCTCGTCTGCCCGTACTTCCCGCCTGCTCGGCGCCTGGCTCTCAGCGCAGGTGGGCAGGAGAGGGTGGACGTCCACCCCTGCGGCCCGTGTCCGGCAGCCCCTTGGCTTGGGGGGGCACGGGAGACATTGTATTTACGTGGCCACTTTCGCCCAGGAGGGGCATAGGTGCAGTTTTCCGAGGGAGGGGGTCCCAGCCAGGAGCCAGTGGCCAGGCGTCCCTGTGTCCTCAAAAGGGTTCACACCCCTGCCTGGGCCTGGGCAGGCCTCCTGAGGTCGTAGCGGGGGATTTTGCTTATTTCGTAAATATTGCTTCTCTACTAAGTATTCTTGAATTGCCAAGATTTCCTGAAACAGGACAGCCTAAGGGAACCAGCCCTTTGACTTGTGATGTGAAATACTGTGATTTCAGGCGAGCTGCGCTGTGAGGGGTGGGCCAGGGCCCCTGAATATTGTACATAGACCCGCCGCCTGTGTCCTCGCTCGTGTGCTCGGGACAGGCCTGGATGCTCAGCCCACGTGAAGTCAGAGGCCAAGCCAGTCTGTCCCCCTACCGCTGCCCGCCCCCCCGCCTTGAGTGCTCCCAATTTCAATCCCTTCAGCTGTGCGACCTTCTGCCCTGGGAACAAGCTGAACAGTATGTTCCCACCTGCCTCAGTTTACCCTCTGTCCTCCAAGCCCACAGGACAGTGAGTTGTTTACCCCCAGGGAGGCTTGTGGGCCAAAGTAGAGCCCGGGATCAGCCCCTCTGTGTCCTCCAGAGAAGAGGGCTTCTGCCCCTGTCCCCTCAACACCCATCAGAGTCACCCCCCACAGTGTCCAGGACTCATGTTGGGGAGGAGAAGGGGTCTTGTTGGGACCATATTCCCTGTGACAGGTACCCATGCCAACCTCCATCCCCACTGAGTCCTTTCTGGGGGAAGACAGGCAGTGCTCTTCAGGACCTACTATGGCCCCCTCCTTGTTCTCCTCATCCCCCCCAGCTTCCTCCTGATGCTCTTTTGGGCAGGAAGGGTTGGGGGGTGCCAACCCCTTGGGGCAAGGAGGCCTGAGACCCTCAGTGGAAAGCTCAGGAGGCAGGTTAACCCTTCCACAAAATATAGGGGCCCCCAGCTGACAGATTCAAGAACTGTGTATGATCTCTGGGGGACAAACCAGAGCGGAAGGTGCCCTAAATGGGGTAAGTCCAGTCCCCCCTGCCACTGCGCTCCAGAGGACTCCCTGGGAGCAGCTAGGCCTAAGGGAAGGGCATCCATGTGTGTTTTGGCCCTTTCCCCAGACACACCTCCATGCAGATCTCCCTTTGGGCTTCTGAGCCACCTGCCTGCCCCGGGCTTGTGCCTTGAGGGCAGGGGTCCTGCCTTTGCAGGCCTTTTCTTGTCTCTTTTGGGGCTTGGGGGGCTGGGAAAAGGGGTTCTGATGTCTGTGTGTTTGGCCTGATTTCTTTGGATGGCTGAGCTCCCCAGAGAGTGCCTAGCCGGGTGGGCCCTGTTGCGAGGCCCATGTGTCATAGTGGGGCAGGCAAGGATGGGTGTCCAGCATGAGGAGACCCCCACATGGAGGGTGAGAAGGCTCCACATCCATCCAGATGTCCTGGGGTGGCGGTCTGGTTTGTGGGCTGTGTGCCAGGTGCTAGCCGCGGCCTGGTCAGGCAGGATGGGAGCCAGTGCCCGGGCTGTGGGGAGCTGGGTTGCCTACCCCCATCCAGCATCCTGGGCCTGGTGAGCCCCCGTGAGGGACTGTCCTTAGAGGGGCCCTCAGTGGAGCTGAGGACACATGGGAATGTGCCCCCCTCCCCAGGCCTCCACATCTCAGCCAACCCTGAGCTGGTTCATAACCAAACATCCTTCCAGACTTCCACCCCCAGCTGGATTATGGGTTTTCTGCATTTCCAAAGAAGGCATCCCCACTCCTGGGTACAGGCTGGGTGTGGTAAGGCCTGTTGGTATTGGGAGGCCTTCCACCCCCTACCCCGGTCCTGACAAAGCAGCAGCAGCACCCATCACCTTCCCTGGCATCTGATGGAGCCCTAGGTCAGAGGCCACAGAGGTTCTCAGTGTGGGGGTAGAGTGTGGGAGCTGCAAGGTCGAGGGTACCTTGTATCCTGGTCTTGGCCCATCGCTCCTGCAGGCGCCACTGCAGGTAAGGGAGTTCTGGCCATCAGAGCCAGTCCCACTTGGCTTGAAGAGCTGTCGGGGGGGCGGGAGTGTACTGTGTGCTTCCCCCACTGCTGGAGGCCTGCCTAGGGTGAGTAGGCAGTGGGGTCTGTTGCTGCCCCACCTCCTGGGGGTTCCTGAATCACTCTCCCATCAGGCCCTGCCTGGCTGGAGCTGACTCTGTCCTTGGTTTCTCTTGATCTTTGGCCTCCAGGATTCCCGGTTGGGTGGGGCCCAGGCACCTCTCATTACCCTTCCTGTGCTGCAGGCAACTGGCCACAGATCCGTTCTCTCTGAAGTGGCTACTCCCCAGGAGGGAGGTGGGGTGACCTGAACCCCCAGGCCTGGGCACTGGAGTACCCTCAGAGGTATTGGGGTGGGCCACGGGTAATGGGAAAAAGACCCTTGTGACCCAGGCCTCAACTTCCCTCCTGTCACTGGCTCAGACCCATGGGTCTTAGGGCCTCCGGCTCCTCCCTGGCAGGGTCAGGGATAGGGGCTAGACATGAGAGCGTTGCTGGCTCCAGACAGTTCCCTCTGCCTTCCGTCTCTTGGCCAGCCCTCCACATCCTGTCCCCAGGATGCCAGTGACAGGCGGTACTTGTAGGGGAGTGCGTCGCCCCTGTTTAGCAGGGTTCTGGAGCTTGGGGGCCGTCAATGCCCAGCCCATCCTAGCCCACCACTTCTGACCTCTTGCCCACTCGGGACAGGTGGACATAGCCGTGGCCTTTGCCACCAGGCCCTGAGAGGAGG